GCTAATTTATATGGAGCGGGAACGGAGGATCCTGATAACCAGGGCTTATATAGTGGACAACAAGACGGGTCGGTTAATTCTTGCCCCGTTTGCCTGGAAGTAGAAGGACAAGACGCGTCAAATGTTCAATCTTTACATGAGCCGAAAGAAAATGTCTTATTTATTTTCCTTTGAGATAATTAATTTAAAGGTGCTTAGAATTTCATCAGATTTTAAATTAGGTCTTTCTAGTTTTATTTTATTTTTATTGAATCCTTATATTTTATTCTGTTAAACCAGCATGTCCCTCCGTTAATTAATCTTCCAAACATCGTTAATGATAATATTAGATCCAAACATCGTTAATGATAATATTAGAGGGTGAGGTGGCATTGAAGCAACTCCATAGATATCAATACTTATGTTCTTTCTCTACCACACTAAAAAGCTCATGTGCCCTCTCTCTCTCAGAACCACTTTGCCATTGAGAAGGAGAAGCAAAGCTTCTTCTCCAACTGTTATTCAACATTTGGGCACTATTGAGCCATTGCTTAACCATCTCTTGATATTAATAACTGTTTTTAACAAGAAAGACGACATGGCAATTGTATAATCAAAAGTGTGGATAACAAAAGAATCTTGAACAAGGATTTCTACATCAAAACTACTGTCTTAACGTATTTTCATTTAATGACCATGTATCTTTTTGGAACAAGAAGAATGTTAAAATTGTTGAAAGGGTTTATGTTCTGGAGAAGAAACTCTTAAAGCAAATTCAAGGTAATGATTCTTGAGTGCTAATTTTTTTTCTGAAAATCTGTTTAAGTGAAATATTTTCTACCTTAAAAATCTAAGGAAAAAAATCTGCCTCATCAATAGTTCGAGATATTGTTATTGGGTTGTTTCAACAATAGGATTGGTGGTGAACTTCGAAGGCTAGGCATCAAAATCTGAGATTTGTCAGGATGTGCTTATCTTGACAACAACGGCTTATTTGAAATCTGGGGGGCGGGGCGCAGGTATTGATATCTGGGGAGCTTCTTCAATGCCACCTCACTCTCTAACATGTTTGAAAGATTAATTAACTGAAGTAACAGAATAAAATATAAGGATTCAATAAAAAAAAATAAAACTAGAGGGACTCAATTCGAAATATGATGAAACTCTAAGTGCCATCAAATTAATTATCCTTTTTCTTGTTGGCCAAAAGAATTACAATTTGTTTTATTTAGTTTTTTTTGGCAACAATTATTTTCCATATTTAAGTATTACTTTTGCTACTAAGCAATTGTATTTAGTGTGTTGTATTTTTTTTTTGGCGCATTTTGAATGACGAAATTAAAGTGTAAGTTTCGTTTACGATATAATATGAGCCATATATAAATGGATTTTACATTCTATGATTTATTATTCAAGAAACTTTTTCATTTTATATTTACTTTTTGTCGCAGTGTTTATTTTGATTTTGGGGTTTACTATGAAGCAAGAAATACAAACGGAAGTTAATATAAATAACTGCAGAGATGAAATGACTATAAAATTAAGAAAATTATATGTTTGTTAATAGTGATTTATTGCATTTGTTTCTTGAAAATATTAAAGATAGCTTAGCCATATTCTCAGTAAAGAGAACTCTTCCATATGTTTTTCCAAATATTTTCGAAAATTTCAGGCTAGAAGTTTTGATTTATATTGACAAAAATTAGCAATGAGAACTTTTAGAAGATCGGGGGAGCTTAAATTTGCAAGAAGAGGTGGTGATTTTTTTGACTAATCACCCTAGAAGTTGAAGATGTTTTTGTACAATGATTTTGTTGGTGTGACTAACCCAAATATGATCCTAATATAATAGGACGGGCTTAGATGCTGTACTATTCATTAAAAAAAAAAACAATGAGAATTTTTGGGATTTGGAGAATCAGTTGTTCCATCTCTCTGTTATCTCCTTTATCATCTTTCAATTTTCTTCTACTGCTCAAAATAAGTGAAAAAAGTGAAGTTTTCATATCTCATAGGTAAAAAATGTTGTTTGTTTCATGATTTTTTTAAAAAGATATTTTAAAATGGGTACTGTTACTTTTAAAAAAAATCATAAAAATTAAAAACAACACCATTTTGATTCATGAGATATCAAAATTTTATTTATTTTACATAAAATCTAATAGTAAAAAGAAATAAGCAAAACCATTTGGAAAGTAGAAAAGAAGGAGTGGGGCAGCTGGGACCCCAACTCCAAACTTTTGAGCAATTTTAAAGGACGCCCTCCTCGTTTAAAGGAGGCTACAAAGTTAATGTTTATACCGGCTCACAGGATGTAGAGACTCCATGCTTGCTGATGACATAATCCAGTTCTTTTTTTGTAAAAAAAAAAAAAAGCTTATAAAAGTATTCACAAATTATTTAGTACTCTTTTGGTCTTATTTAGGAGAGAGAAAGAGAAAGTTTTTTTATTCTATTTATAATTCATTTCATTAAATTTTTATCATGAATATACTATATTTTTTTCATTATATGTTAAAAAGAAGTAAACTTAGAAAGTTGTTATATTTTAATGAAAAGTTAATATAATTTAAGATTTATTTTAATCTGTATAAAACATGTTAAAAATATCTTATAAATAGAATTAAAAAAGTATTTATCACTCGAATTTGAATTTAATATAATTTACCTCGTTGGATCAGCTTTTGTGTAACCTACGGTATTGTTACCAATCCTTTCCCATACTCGGGATTTGAAATGATTACAAGCATTGCAAAAATAATTGGCGTCAAATTCAATGTTAATGATGATTTTTCAAAATAGTAGTTATACTCGCCGTGCAAAATAAAATCTAAAAACAGCCCCGGTAAAAAAAAAAAGGGAAAATTAATTTGCAAGTCCTTCTAGTTTATCTTAATTTTGAATCAGGTCCCTCAACTTTTTTTTCTTTTTATTAGATCCTTCAACTTTTTATTGTTAAATTTGTTGGTCCTTACCGTTAGATACATATTGACGCCGTTTAAAATTTAGCATGCGCACTCAGGTTTGACCAACTCTTCTCTCATTTTCCTTGTTGCTCAACACCGTCTCCTTCCCCAACATTCTCCCCACTTGAAAATGCCTTACCATTCCTTCCCTTCCCTTAATCAAATTCACCAGGACCTCTTTATTTATTTCCATGGCTGTTGGTCTGGGCTCAACTTTCCAAACCCAACATCTCAATTTGTGAGGTGTGAAATGAAAAAGAGACAGAAGAACGACCTTACATGTGCATTCGCAACCCATGAAAAAAATCACATGTTTTTTAGGCTTGTTTGATCATCCTCCGCCTTCATTTGCGGCCCTTCTTGGCCATTACTATTGATCTAACTGAGTGGGGAGGATAAAACACTTGTTAATTAAAGGACTCTGTTTGGCTCTATTTCTAATTCAAAAAACAGAGCCATCATTGATGGTGGCTGTCATTTGAAACTTCAATAGCAATCCAATATGCTCTAACTAGCAAGCCACCACTCTTGTTTACTGCCGCATATGTGTGCTCCAAAGCCATCGTGCACCTCTTATACTCCCTATTTGATGTTGATGCTTTTATCCTCCTATTCTTTCCCTCCCCTTCATTCATCCTTTCATCTTACCTACCATTTTTAACTTTTGGATATTAACTATATATAATATACACGTAGCAAACAAAAACAAAGAAGATGCATCACTTGTGGATTGGGGTATACATGATGCACACATGGGTTAAATCCAACAAATCTTGGAATTAAGTCACCGCCACCTCTTCCTCAAAATCACAAGAGACCATTGGATTCAAGAGCCAAGGGTCTGCTAAGTTACTTTCAACCCATGTTCTCAAAATTGGAAGAATCACTTCTTGTGTGTTTGGCTCAAACATAGCTTCTAGAGCTCTACATCTCATTCAAAATCGCTCAATACTCATGTTGAAGCTAGTCTTGCGATTCACAAATAAAGATGTTGGGGCAGGGGACTTGAGCCCCAATCGACTCCATATTTTCATTTGCCGGCAGGAATAGCTAAAAAGGTCCCAATGACTATGCGATTGAGGAAATGGAAGGTGTTATGGAGAGGTAGGAAGGAATGACGAGCCATTTTCCAGCGGGGAGAATGTTGGAAAGGAGACGATGCTGAGCAACAGGGAAGAGGAAGAGAAGAGTTTGGTCAAACCTGAGCGTCTAAGCTAAATTTTTAACGGTGTTAAGATGTATTTAACCATAAGGACCAATAAATATAACAATAAAAAATTAAAGGATCCAATAAAAAGAAAAAAAAGTTGAGGGACCTGATTCAAAATCAAGATAAACTAGAGGGACCTGCAAATTAATTTTCCCAAAAAAAAATCTAAAAAGAGAAATGATGACAGAGAAAATGAGCATCCTACTCATAAAATAGAAATTGCTTAAACAATGACAAGGGCTTTTTTTTTTAAAGAAAATATTTTCTTTGCTAAAAAAAATATAAGAATGGAAAGGAATCGAAAGATAGATTATATTTCTAAAATAGAGCTAACAAAAATATAGATTATATTTCTAAAATAGAGTTAAAAATAAAATAATATTTTAAACTTGTTTTTATATTAAAAGTTCTGAAATAAAATTTGGTCAACCTCAACCCAAACTAGCTAGCCAAAACCACAAAGTGTCTTTCCTCCAAAAGAGAAATTTAAAACCTATATGGCGACATAGAGAGAGTAAAATTTTGATTTTTTATTCAACCTAAAAAGTTTAAATTATTCTTAATGATCCAGTCAATCCTGACAATTAAGATATACTCTATTATCATAAATTTTTTTAAAAAAAATACTACAAATAGATCTTCAGGTTCTGAAACATTGTTTTGGGGCCAAAGATTCTGAACCATTCATATTGATTGGATTTTTAAAATTTTATGCAAAATAATGAGCATCTTCCTGCAATAACATGTGGAGCTCCGAATTCATGTATGAACTTATTTTTCGCCAAATTCAAAGCAATAAGTGAGCTTTTAGTCTAATTCGTTGATTTATCAGTCAAGACAACCGGTTCCTGTTTAAAGAAGTGCCAAAACTTCATATTTCCAGGAAGTTCTTATGAATCTGAAGCAAAGGGCTCCAGCCAAAATTCCTTAAACCATCTCTACAGCCAAATGTTTATCCATAGAGTATAAAAAAATGTTTACCCTTAGTTATATCAAATAGCTGAAATGCAATTAAGATACTCCTATAATTTTCTAAATTATTACCACCAATCCCCCAGTAGAATTAAATACTTGTATAATTTACCTACGTTCCCAAAATTGAAAATTCTTTTGAAAAATCAATTACGGATATTTATCCCTTAATCACACCCATTCAATGGCGTCCCCATCCTGAGGAGCTTTAATCTGATACGGTCTTTGTATGACTGTTTTCGAACTGGTGCCCTCTTTCCCAATCATCTGCAAGCCCTGAATAGTATCGAATCAAAAGTCACCATTGAACGAAGTTCGAGAATGATTCATTTGAAAAATGGCAAAAGTGGCTATTTGATTTTTATAACCTTACATTCAGTTTGATCTCTTAATTTTATAAAGTATCTTTTTCAATCTTATAACCCTTATACCATTAGTCTCAAAGGATGATTTTTTTTTTTGGTCATCAGTATTATTTTTTAAAATCAAATTCAACATGTTAGTATTTGCAAATATTTTTCAATATTTAAACTTCTAATGAAAATATATTTTTTTTGTTCATAGAACTAATGATAGGGTTAGAAAACTACAACCTTACATGTAAAATTTTTAAAAAAAACCAGAAGTACACTTTTGCCTTGAAGAATTCTTACAAAATTTGACATACCAAAGTTGATGATTCCCCCTGTTCTGCGCTGACTCCCTGTCAATTGTCAAATGACTCAAACAACCAAAATTAGCACGACAGATAAAAAAAAAAAAAAGGAAAAAGAAAGTTAATGGGCATGGACCTTGAAGATGAAGAATCCTAGCCGATAAATATACAAAAATTGAAAATCTGACCTCTGAGATTTTTCGGTCTCGCTCCTCACAAGGTTTAATAGTACTTTGGCACAGATGCCAGACAGCTTCGTTAGTCTCATTCTGCATGAAAAATTCAAAAGAAAAAAGGTTTAAAGATCATATAATTATGCGCGTACATGCCCGCTCGTGTGTAAATCAGAACAAATACTGGTAGTTAATCCATGCATCTGCAAAGTTAAATAAATAACCTGTTTGCTTTCAGCAAGCTTGAGCTTTTCGTCCTATAAAGTTAACAAATAGATTAAAGTCACAACATTGACAATGTAATCCTTCCTATAAATTAGAAGCTTAAAGTGCTCTACGAGAAATATAATTTACCATCCTGGAAATCTTTTCATTGGTGGCTTCAAGCTGAATTTGTGAAAGTTTTACCTTCATTTCATTCACCTGTATGAAAATAAAAATAAATAAGCGTGCAGTAACTTACTTCCATATATGGCCAGACATAAATTTTACCATTAGCAAAGGACCTGGCTCTTAAAACTGACTGCAGAGATAGTCCACGTGGGATACTAATGTTAGGAAGGGCCAAGTAAAGTTCAAGTTGAATATTACCATGAAAAAGTAACTATCAATTTCCATTTAAAAAAGGCGATTCAGACTATAAAGGCGGACGAGCATATTGATCCTATTAGTCACAATCCAATGACTCTGGGGAGAAAATTGAAAACAGTTCATTTGACTGATCCTATATTTGAAAGTCCGTTCTTCAGATCCAACCACTTGTATTAATTGCATTAAGATAATTAGCCATGTTGTAAAGAAAATCGCCATCTCTTACATCATTAGCATTAAGCTGGTTTAACTCAATTTGCTCCTCAACTTTCAGGCTCAAAACTTCTAGCTTCTCTGTTAGATGCCCTCTAGTTGACTGCACATATTGATTAAACAAAATTGTTCAGCAATCAACACAGATGTAAAATGGCTAAACTGTGAAATTTTTTATGTCAGCAGATGCGACTTACATCTATTTTTTCAGGTACACTCTCCAATTGCTTTGTCACAGATATTACATCAGAAAATGACCATCCCTGAAAGATGGACATAAAAATAATAAATGCATTAATAGCATCATTGCATATAATTTCTACCATCAGTTCAGTTGCAGATATATACAATTTTGAGATTAGATAATAACCTCACCTTACACCACATGTAACAAAATCCCATAGCTACTAATGCAGCGGCTGGCAATAGGTAAGATGCATAACTCCCTATGTGCGAATGATTCACATCAACAACTTTTTATAGTTAGACAATAGAAATCCTGATAGATAGAGAAAAATATTACTTTGTCTTCATATCAAATCATACTATACTTTTATGACATGACAGTAACAGGCAAGAGAACACCAAAAAAATGGGAAAACTCCTATAAAATAAGGGAATGAGTTTTCAGGCATCATCAATGGATTGAAAAAGCCAAAGGTGAATGACACTTTGAAACTTGCTGCTAGGAGACCCTCCAGAGATTGAAGACACTGCCTAAATTCTCCGACCACTCCAAACCAAAAGGTTTCAACAACAGTAAGATTCATCCAACTGGGGTTCCAAAACAAAAAGTTCATTTCACAAAAGTGCATTTGCTTCAGCACTCGTAAATATCCGCAACTGGTTCTAAACTATTCCCACACATGGCACTATTATGTGGTGAAATGGCTGTTACTTGTTTGAGGCCTTGAAAGCACAAGCACATGAAAGGGGGGAAAATGAAAAACTCATGACAAAATGAAACACAATTCATTCTACGTACCTTTACAGGAACAATTGCAGTTGAAGGTGACTGCAGGATTGGATAAGGTCAGCTCCCTAATCTCCTGAGCTAGTTGCCGAATCTGAAGTTAAAACATGCAGGTTTGATGTGCATTAATTGATATACCCCGTCTAAAGATACAAGTTTTATGATGAATTCTCCTGCAATGAAACAGTAATCAAATCCAAAGTTATGGGGTAAAATAAAGGTTTCTTCCTTCAAATAGATCACCAAAGATACTCCTGTCTTATTCATCACAATGTTTCTTCATATGGGCAAAAGGTCAGGGTGGAGCTGATCCACTGAGCTAGCTTCTAACATTAGCTATGACGAAGCAAGTTGTCGGAGTAAAGACAATAAGTCCTTATTTAGCAGATTTGGAATATATGTTTGGTTGCTTTGATGAGATTTGGGTTTGTTCATCTGATTGACAGGCTTTTGTAGCCATGAAGTTTACGGGTTTCAGGAAGCAATGGGAACAGAACATTCTCCAGCCTTGTACTCATTACAGGCTTCTGCCACATACCCTTTAAAAGAGAACTGTTTTCACGTTCTATTTATGGATTTCTACAAATGGTTGTTCTTTTATTTCTATTTCTATTTTTTGTGTAGAAGGGGGAGGGCTGCCCCTTGCGGACATTCAAAGGAATTTGAATGGTCATTTGAATTAGAATCCGCTTTCTTCAGCCCAACTTTAGTTCACGGGTCTGCCGTTCATGTGAAAACAAATATCTTACAGTCTTCACTTAATTCCCGCAAAATCAATTTCTTATGGCCCGCCCCATTGACTTGTACTGAATAGAAAATAGTCAGAATTTTACGAAGACAAGGAAGCCACCAGATAACATTGATAATTTTGCAATACCAGAGCGGCAATGGCTGCAGTGTCACATCGACCGGGTAAAAACTCAGCTTCATTATAATCTTTGAGCAATGCCTGAAGCTGTGCAATGAGATCAGAAGACCTTTGGTTCCTCCACACAACAGAGCCAGACCAACCTAAAAAGTAGAAAAGAAAAAACAGAACTTGTACCAAGAAAAGGGTAAAAGTTCTCATCAGTTAATGAACAGTGATGAATGAACAGGGACACATTTTTTTTTGCCCTTTTTGAGCAAATTAGCAATGAGACAAACAAAAAGTGTCATGTAAGTAATGAGAGGGACAAAAAGGAAAAGTTTTCTTTTTCTTTATAAAAGTTCTGCAGGGATTGAAGTTGCGAGCTTCTTGTTCAGTCTTTAAACCATAAACAGAATCTCCAGTGTCATGCAAGTTAATCAACAAAATAGACTTCAGGAGTTTATCACACGGCTAAAACAAAGTTAGGAGCTGAATTGGCCGGAAATTCACCGACAATCTAAATCAAACAGGAGGAATTTAAGAATGAGATATGAAGTAGAACGCTCACTAGCTGGGACAAGGATAAGAATTTTGGAGTTTTGAACCGCTCGTGATGCCATTTTCCGCGAATGATCTGAACGAACTCAAGCTTATCGGGAATGCTGAGTATCAGTCGATATCACTTCCAGCTACAACAAATCGATGGGAATTCAATTGACACAAGAACAGATTCAGAGACTCACGAAGAAGGAAGATAAACACAGTTAAATACAGACTGAGAAAAAGAACTGAGAGAGATTTCCTTAACGACGCTCGACTATTTAAGCTTCCTGAGCTGCTCGAACCTTCTACGCAGTCGATTCTACGTCTGGTGCCACGTCGCTCGTCCCCTCCACATCGTCTCCCTCCATCGCTAGCGTGGCATGGCTACTCAAGGTCAAAGCGGGCATTGTTGGAACTAACGAACTCGAGCAGACCATCCGCGACGTTGACGCGGGCAGAGGTGATTTCCATTTTATTTTTATTTGATTCCTTTCTATCAATATCAATATTTTGTCACGGCATATTCAAAATTATTCAAGATTGAATAGATTACACAAAGTATTAAATTATGAAATTACAACATCGGATAGAAGACTATTCTAGTTGACTAATTTAAGTAGATTAAGAAAATTAGTTAAATTAGTTTTATAATAAATTAGTGTTGTCTTTTTTAAAATATTTTTAGTTATCAAATATTGGTTAGAACTACTATTATTATAAGAACTACCTTAAAAAAATAAATATAAGAGACAAAGTGGATTAAAATTTTATATTTAAAATTAAAATAAAATCAAACAAACTTTTATATTAAAGATCAGAGTTACTATCTTAATTTCAAATTAATTAAGATCAATTGTAAATATAAGGAACTCAATTATAAATCCTAGAATATTAGTTGTAATTCATTTTTAAATGATGAAAGTTCTGTAACTTCTAAAAATTTAATTTCCCAATTTTAAAAACTCATTTGTAAATAATGAAATATTAATTGCAAATATACTGTAAGTTATAATATTAAAATCTCAATTATAAATTCCAAATTACTCAATTCTAAAAGTAAAAAGAAATGATTGGTTAATTCTTTTAAATGTTTTGATTTGATTCCCAATTTATAATTTCATTTGCTATTAATTTCAATATATGCAGCTAAGATTCTAAGACTTAACTGAGTTGTAATTAATTTTTCAACATTTATGTTTGAGCTTCATGGTTTGCAAGTTACAACTGGATACTTCACAATTACTGCTTAAATAAAATATTTCTGAATTAAGTTAATTAAATTTATCTATTAAGATATACAAAAATAAATATTAGAATATTCTTACTCATAAAGAAAATTGATTTCCTTATATTTTTATAAATAACATTGAATTAGGAAGCACGGAAGCATGCATCATAATTTTTAAGTTATCAATACTCCTAGTAATTAGAGTGTACCTCTTCTTTATTTACCCACTGTTAATTTTTATGGATATACCATTATGACTTCATGAATAAATCAATAAAGAATACCTTAAAATGATTTTGAACTAAGATATAATTTAAAGGGAGCTATATTGTGTATATAAGTGATACGTAATACTTTTTATTCAAGATTCTATACAATAAGCATATCATTCGTAGTAGCTTCGAGGGGGACAAGCTGGTTTGGTTTGATAGAAAAATTGTAAGAATTGAAAGGATTAAAGGGTGTATTGCGGCTAATACAACACAAATTATAAAATACAAGTAAAATAACATCTTCACCTAGTCACTCTTGCTTCCCGAGTAAGAAATTGAGGGGTTTATAAACTCACACTCCTCCTCTGTTCATCTCCGCATTGAAAATTTTTTATTTTCAAATTCAAAATCGTCGAGTCACTAATGAGGTTTTTTGTTTGGGTGATAAACGGGGCCTAAGCCCAACAGATCTAAAAAGATAAGAAAATCACGGTGTTTGAAGTCAATAAAAGCACTTAAAAATGTTTTCCGAGTTAAAATTTTTTCATATATTTATTTTGAAGATGTTTAAGTGGACATCAAACTATAATTTTAAAATTAATTATATGGTATATAAAATAAGTATGTAAGATAAGTTTTATGTCGACTTATATAAAAGTACTTTTTAAAAGTGATTTTAAGAGTAGGAAAATGCTTGTTTCGTATATCATAAAATTATTTTTAAAACCATTATTTGATTTCATTTTTGCTCATGTTTCTGTGCGTAAACACCTACTCAATCTACAGATGAACTTCACAGAACAGTCTCCTCAAAATTATTTCTTCAAATTAATATTAATTGTCACGTCACTATGTAGAATTTATATTTAGATGCGCTCTTTTATGAAAAAATAAATCAAATTATTGCAAGTGGAACTTTTTTTTGGGCCTGTACAAATGGAACCGCGCCATTCATACTTCTTACTGGATTGTTAAATTTTATGCCGAAGAATGCTCATTTTCCTGCCGTAACGCGAGGAGATCCAAATTCAAGTAGAAACCCGTCTTTTCTCACGTTCAAAATTCAAGCCAATTTGGCGAGTTTAGAGTCTAGTTCGTTGATTTACCAAACAGACCAGCGGATTTCCAATTCGATTTAGTTTCTCAAACCTTGAGCACCCGTCTTGAGAGTTCATCCAAAGATTAGTGTTCAAAAGAATCTGGTATATGGCCTGGTCGTGTAAATTATTAACGGATAACGTGAAAATTTGCTCCAAAAATTTGTGTTTGGGAGCCTTAGTATCCGAAAGTATTTGTTGATTCAATATTGCCTTGGATGTTTTCAAACCATAGCAATTTTTCCCTGCCCGTTAGCCAAGTTAAGTCTGACTGTTAGTTAATCAACTATGCTGAGTTGACTAGTCCATGTATTGTTCACATCATTTTCTTTTTAGAGTTAAAATGCAAATTTGTCTAAGAAGTTTTTGTTCAAAAACGTTGGGTATCCAAAAGTTTTAAATTGTAGCAGTATTTGCCTTAGATGCTATCCATATTAAATTTGACTATTAACTAACCAAATGTGCTGAGCTGATAGATTCATGTGTGATTCACTTCATTCTTTATTCATAATCTTATGCCATTTCTCCAACACAAAAACAATTCTTTTCACACATTTATTATTTCTTCATTCGATCTTAGTTTAGTACGTTTTATAAGAACAAAAGTAAAGCATAAAAATATAGTAAATAATATATGTGGAGAAGAATCTTGCAAGAATTTTTAAAAGATATAAATGATGAGGTCGATTTCAAACATAGCCACAGGTTTGGAAAGCATAGAAGCAATGATTTTTCCAGAGTTAGTACTAAATCTTCACCTTAAAAAAATAAAGTGAATCACACGTGGACCTATCAATTCAATATATTTAGTTAATTAATAGTCAAATTTAAAACGGATAATAGTTGGGGCAACATTATTACAATTTCAAAATTTCCGGATACCAAGCGCTCTTCAGTAAAAATTTTTAAGGCAAATTTGCACTTCACCAACTCAACATAGTTGGTCATCTAACGATCAAATTTAACCTAGATAACGACTAAGGCGATATTCAGGTAAAAAATATTTTCGGATACCCAGCATTTCAAAGTGCAAACTTTCAAGATAAATTTTACACTTTAACCCAATTATTAATGACCTAATTCGATTATGCATAAAAGGGGATTATATGTAATTATGGTGTTTGCCTATATTCCTATTGTTTGGTTGGTTTCAATGTAATGCATCCCCACATGGGGGGGGGGTATGTAATCCCCGTTCCCATATGCTATAATCCAATTTTTATTCAAATGCTCCTCACCCTTCCCAGGCTTCCATCATCTTTCTTCTCCTCATCTCAAACCAACTCTAGCAAACGATACCCTACTGCCACCTTCATCCAGATCAACAACTTCAAATGCCATCGGACACCATCATTCAAATCAACCAAGATCAAATGCCATCAAACCCCGCAGCGACGGTCAACGACCTTTTCTCCTCCAATACTCGAGTCCACTACCAAATCTGCTTGCTAACCCACCCATTCTCAAAGATCATAGAACTTGTAAAACATTTACCACCAAATCCATTGGTAAATCTCCATTTTCAACCAACTGATTCCTTACTCATTTATAAATCCCATAGGAATTACTTGGAATAATTTAAAAACAACTTTTTAATTATGATTTATAAACTATGAAATAAGTATAAAATAAACATGTTAAAAAAGTTTTATCTCAATTTATGGCAATGTACTTATAAATCACAGCTCCAAACAAGCCTGAACTTTTCTTCATTGCTGCTTTTTATGAACAATTCCTGATTTTGTATGAAGATTGATGAGATTTTCTGAGTTGATTAGGTATGAGAAAGAAGCACCGGAAGGAGGAACGGCCTTTCCTTTTCTTTTTCGTTGAAAGGGCATTTTTGTCTTTTTGATTTTATCAATCTTTAAGAAAATATTAAAAACATACCCCCTTCAATATTGTACCAAACAAGCTTATCCTAATCACTATTACATTACAATCTATTCTATTACATTCTCATTGATTCCACGAACCAAACGAGCTGTTTTCAAGTCATATATA